CTGCCTCTCTTGCCTCTCGGTCTCTCTGCCTTGAAGCGGGCGGTGTCGTCTCGGCTGAGCGTGGCTTTGCAGAGGGTCCGCGCGGTGACGTCCTCGAGGAAGCGGATCTGGTAGAGCGTCTTCGTCGCGCGGTCGCCCTTCATCAGCGCACCGAGGTCCTCTCTCTGCCGGAGCGAGGGCGAGGCCGTCAGCAGTCCCTCGGGGTGGCGGCAGCAGCGGGAGGCAGCGAAGTTTGCAGCGGCGCAGTGAATTCTCGGGTGGCGGCAGCGGGCGGCAGCGTACGCGGTATTCCAGCTCCTGCGGCGCGCAGTACGGCAGCTTGTAGTAGTTGTACACCTCGTTCGGGTTTGCAAAAGGGCCGACCTAGCAGTAGCGGCGGGTTTTGCCACTCAGTCCTCGTTTCTTGCGCGGCATCTGCAGCCGACGGCGAGGACGGCAGAGATTGGGCGGTGTTGCGTCTGGGTTGGGGCGGTGGAGCCGCCATTTGCGGAGCAGGAGCCGCCTTGTTTGCATAGAGCACGACCTCCGAGCCCTTCTCGTAGCTGGTCTCGGAAGCCGCAGGCGGTAGCAGAAGTCCCACGAGCAGCACGGGCCACGCTGGTGCTAGCGAGCGCATGCCAGAACAGAGACGGCGGCGCGCAGAGTCGGCCAACGTCAATGTGGCGCCGGCGCCGGCTCAGGGCATCGAGTTTGAAGAAAAGAAAAACTACCGAGCGGCACACAAACACCCCCCCCACACATTCAAGACAGACCCGGCGTTCTGCCAAAAGAAAAAATGCCGACATGCCGGGGACCTTTCCTCCGGGAGGGGGCGTGAGGGCCCAACAGACCCAACAGCAGAATCGTGCTTTTGGGGTTGGGTTGGGTTGAGAGAGAGATTTTTAGCAATACCAAACAACTCTAACACTCACACGTAATTTGGGGCCTGGAGCCCTGTTCACGCGCGCGCGAGACGTGCAGACAGGGTTGCCAGGTGAGAGCGAATGGCGCGGTTCACGCCTCGCACAACAGAGAGAGAGATGCGCTCTGCATGGTGGGACATAAAAGAGAGCGAGTACTTGGGCGAGTAGGCCGTGCGGTCAACGCTGCCGCGCGCGACTTTGCGCGCGAGGCGGCGCAGCTTGAGAACGGCGGTGGGCGAGAAGCCGCCGCCGAACGTCTCGTGGAGCAGCAGGTTGAAGTTGTTTGTTGTTGGGTTGTGGGCCTGGGTTGGGTTGTTCCGCGTAAGGTTGGGTCGTCGGCGCGAAGGGTGAGGTCTCGACCGCCGCCGCTCACGCCAGCGGACGGCCACCATCGGTGTTTTTGGCTTCGCCACCGTCCAAAGCGTGCGCAATGCGCTCGCCGGCATCGAGCGAGCACGCCTGTCCGACGAGCGGCTTGCTGTGTGGACGCCTTCTTGTGGCTCTCGCCGAGAGCGTTTTGCGTCCCGGTGGGTGGGAGAATATGTGATAGGAACCGAGTGTATCGCTTTGACGGATCGACCGTACTTGCTATCAAGACTGATATGACGCACACA